TTGTTGAAGCAGTTTTATATAAAAGAAACCCTTCTACAACGGATGGCGCTCGAATTCGCATCGCTCTGCAGATCACCATTAAAGAGACGTACAACCGCTACATCACCGCGTGCGGCGTGCGGCAAATTCGCATGATGGCGCATCCTGACCTATCAGGGCATGCCCAGCTAGCAATACTCCTAGCTTCTTCGCCAATGAAAGAACGCCCCCTTGTAGCGAGAGAAAGTAGCGAATGATATGGAAGCCTTTGGCAGCTTCTGTTTTACTAGTTTGATAAGAGGGTGTTCACAGAAGGTGATAAAGCTGGTGCCAAGTGGCGCTGTTCATGTGGTTCATGAACTGTTTATCACCAGGTTCACTTCGGATGCAACTACCATTTCATATGGTTGGCAATTTATGGACGAAACTTCAGTCTTGGGGAGGGGCTCGAACCCGTACTTGTGCTTTCCGAGCACAAGTACGCAAGTACAGCTGTGGGTACTGTCCGAGATTGAAGTTTTGTCCATAAATCGCCAACCTTGTGAGACTATCGGGACGCGTATTAGAGCGAAATGACAGCAGTTAACAAACATCAAGTCAAAACTATAATTTCATTTCTTCAAGACTTTTAACAGGGCCGATTATTTCCAGTATTTGTATGTGCGCGGTAACGATGTAGTGGCAAGTGACGCGCTATCACACAAGTATGGGCCGAGGATCGAATTCCAAGATCATTAATACTCGCCAAGATCATCCAAAACCTTTTATCCCTCCGGGGTCGTTTAATCGATAGCAAAGTCGTCTAGAAGGGTAAAGAAAGTGACTTGTACATCGGCTGGCCACTGCAAGGCATGTATAGGCCACATGTACATTTAAGACGCAGCTGCGGCTCCAAATGGAATTCAAATGCAGGGCGCATACCAAAAAAGGGACCGTTTTACGCCAAAAACGCCAAAGACTTCACACTTTGTCCTAGTTTTGCGCGGGTAAAGGTGAGCTGGGAGACGGGCGTTAGGAACGATTTTGGGTAATCGATTTGCCGCACGCGGATGTCGCGGACCACTCATTCGCCGTTATTACAGCTCTAGCGTTCCTCATATAGCTCAATCGATATGCGATTATTATTTATGCATAGTTGCACTATTAGTACTTTTGTTCTTGTATTTCTTACCTACTGCTGCATCCTGCTACATTTCTTCGCGCGCGGCGCCCCTCTCACCGCGTCGCGGCCATTTCGTTCCTAACGCACCACACCCAGGTGAGCTAGTGCCGAATGACGTCGCTACCACTATTTTGTCGGCGGATCACATTTCGGCATATTACCCTCTAGGATAATCATCGGTCCGAAGATGACAGTTGATCCAGACCCTTCATATAGGATAAAAGCACTGATTTGTTCATGGAGTGACCTCTGAAAATCATTGTTAAGATGAATAACTCCTCAAAACACCGCTAAGGTAATCAAATGAAGTCAGATGCATGAGCCATCCCAAGATGAAGTTAGTCATTACCAGTAAAAATAAACTTTTCTCTACTTTAAGTGACTAAATTCTGACCGTAAAATTGCTTGTACTAGTACGTAAATGTTGTTGCGAAACAACAGGAATGTTGGTATTGAATTGATGGTGAGTTGGCGCTGACTAAGGGCCCTGTCATCGTAGCCTACTCACTTTTTCCGTTCACGTTTCTTCCCGTTTCACTTGCAAGCTACGAGCTTCACCACGAGACGCCCGTTGGTGCAGGCAGAGTCAGACCAACAGAGTAAGGGAGGTAGTGTCATTGACGCAGAGGTCGTAAACATTTTGCCATTGGCACACTCTCTTGCTGAAGGTCGGTCGGCATAGTTGTGTGTTGTTCCAGTTGGATTTGTGGCAAACTAGTTTCCCTTTGATCAAATTGTCCTTATATTTTCATTATTGTCTTTGCCACAATCTCTCTTCCATCGCGGTTTCTCATGCTCTTCCAGTTTAAGGCGGGAATTTCAAATAGATTTCTAATTTAAAGTTGATTTCAGAATGGATCCTGATGAGTTTAACGATATTCAGTCACGATTGTACAAATTGATTCCGAAGCAGACCCAAGACATTGTAAGTATTACCAGTTAACGATCAAACGTCAATCATCATGTTTACAACCTTCACTGGTCTTTGAGTTTTTCGCTACGGGTGTGGCCTTGTGGTAAAGCGGTTAGAAGTAAACAGAAACGGAGTCATGCTCATTGCCAGTGTGCAGATTGCTAAATAGAAACGTTATAACGGCGAAAAATAACAATTGGAAGGGGTTTTCTTATGCCATACATTTGGCGCTAACCCTTTGACAAGTGACCGTTCGGCAAGAATGGTTGTACTAGAATCTACCAAATTTTCTCAAAAATGATATCTTTTTAGTTTTCACGATAAGAAATTGATGGGTTGAAACATAGATTTTGATATTGCAATGCGGGCAAGTGCATAGAACACGCATCTCTGCGCAACGGCCGCGAAAAACCACCGTAAACCTTTTGTGCGTCGATTTTATTGCGTTGTGTGAGCGTTGCAGTCCCCTTCGTGCACTTTACGTTATAATTCGTAAAGATGGAATAACGAATAGTAATTTTCTCTTTTGCTCAGCCATTTAGAAACTTTCCCGGAATTTGAACCTTTTCTAGAGACCCCTCCCCCATTACATTAGGTTACTGCTTTGTACTCGAAACACTATCAATTCTTGGCTAAAACTTCTTAAAGATAGGGCATGGTCTGATTCGCTCTTCCGTTCTGTTTTCATTCTAAAAAAAAGTGAATTTTGGGAGTTTCACTCAGTTCATTTCTATGGGAGCAAACTTAAATGGCTCGAATACAGCAGTGAGGGCTTTTTGTTTCAAAGCACTTTGCAATACTAAATGAAGCGGAAAGGTGACATTAAAAGCTTTTTGGAAATTGGTTTTGGTATTTTAATATTTATTACTTTATTTTTATATTTAGGTTGCCACAGCGATTTTTCTAGTCGTTTTGCCTGTTGGTTTTCTTATAAATATCTTCTGCATAATGCCGTTTTGGTATCCGGCCTTCGGAGAAGGTAAACCGCTTAACTTCAGTATCATTTATTTCACTTATTTCTACAATTTTTCTTTATTTTTCAATATTATGATTTAGCATGGGTGATTCGAGTGTCCTGTTTCCTTGTTTTGGCATTCAACGTATACATGAACTGGTACAAAATGGTGACAGTAGGTCCGAGTGGATTGAACCCAGAACTTCCTAATGTTGTTAAAGCGGGTTTCAGGTAAGAATTAGTTGTCAAACATGTTTCCTGTTCCATTTGAGTGTAAGTAAAGTATTCAGGTACTGTCATTCCTGTCATACCAATGCTCCTCCCCGTGCTTACCATTGTCCAGGTAATTGTTTAAACTCGATTTCACTCTTATTCGAATCAAAATTTTTCCCTTACTAAGTGGGTAGTACCTCTTCTCTTTTACCATGTAGTAATTTGTTATACCTATGATCTTTAACTCCTATTATCTTTGGAAGCGCTCGACTGTACGGCTACTGCTCTTTGTGCTTTTCGACTGAAAACCAGTACTCGAGCTAGCTCACATGGCAGTCGATCGGACACTTTTTGGGCGATACTTACCATTAGCAAGGGAGTGGTTAATTCAACTGATTTTTAATCGAGAACTCTCTGAGTATTTCCAGTACAAATTGAAAATCCTGACATATTAGCAGGCACACACCGGGTGCTTTCATAGTCCACGATTTAGCCCGCGATCGGTCGCTGCGACCAGTCGCGCGATTGGTCGCTGCGACCGGTGCGGGCCAAATCGTGGACTATGAAAGCAGCCACCCTTGGAATGTTTAGAAATGAGCGACCATTTTTACCTTTCGAGCACGTGAGCAAATAAAAAATCCATTCGGATATCTTTCAAATGCTTTTTGTAACTGTTGCTGGTAACTGAATTGAGTGATTAGGGCTGTTCGTTTTTCAGTGTGCGACAAGTGTTGCTTCCGTCGTGACCACCACAGCTCGTTTGGTGCCGTCTGCGTTGGGCATTTCAATCAGAGGTAAATATGTATTTTCATTCAAAATGGTTTGAATTCGAGCGGAGAAACTGTTTTGGGTATGGTTTTGCTTTTTGGGTTACGCTTATATGATTCTTTGACATTTTCTGTTTCTTAGGTAGCATATTTTATTGAGTTTTCAAAGTTTCACCATTTCTTTTTTTTTTTGTTTTGCAACTACCCTCTTTCCTTAATTTTCTCTATATTACTTTTTTTTTTGGAATTAACAGTTTCTTTACGCCGTTTCCCAGGCCTTGTATACTTTCTCCTGAGCAGCGAATGATGAGACCTGTGGAGCTTAGAGAGTGCAGCCATTCCTGCAGTTTTATAGGTGTTGTAAAGTGTAGACGGATATTGATTAGTCTTATTTTTAGCATATTAGAGTCGTGTAGAAATGAGGATTAAGCGTCGCCATGCCACTCACCAGGAGCATGTGTCTGAATCTATTAGAGTGAACCACCTGACTCACTGCCAACTATGAGTAAGGATACGCCATCGCGGTAGCATTGTCGGGACTGCTTGCAAGACGAGCTCGTGCTAGTCTCGTCTGAGCCTTTCGCCCTCTCCAAGTCGCTATTCAATGGTTCTCATCCTTCTATCCAGGTTTCGGCAATGGGATCACCTTGGCATATCCTGACCCCTATCTTTTTACTGCGATCTACTGACACGTGCTGGCGCTCGTGCTACCACTGTTATACTGGCCCCTCCCAGCTCTTATCCTTCATGCTCTTGCTCACCAGCTGGACACTTATTTTGATTTTATCAGCTCTGATTTTCTAATTACTCTTTTTGAATAAATAAAATAGTAGTAAGCAGTATTCTCTGGTGATAATAGTGAGTAGTAAGTTTTTTTAATCTTATGTTTTTGTTTTCAGGTATTTTGTGGCCGCAATCGTGAACCTTCTCA